ATGCAATCAAGGCCATGTTTGAGTGGAGATTATACCCTTGGATGCATACATTAGGATATAGTAGCTGAAAAAATCCATGACAAGCATCTATCACAAGCTGGAGTAAGAACACATTCAAACAAACTTTGAAGACTTACATTATTGGATATAAATACTTATAAAGTAATTAAAGCGGTTTGGTATTAGAGCAAGATGAGAATCTAGTAGTATATCTGCACACATATATAGGCACTTGACTGGCTTATTTTGATTGAATTATAGTTGACATGTAATATTTTATTATTTGCTGGTATACAACACAGTAGTTCAACAAATGTATACATTATGTAATGCTTACCACAATAAGCGTAGTTATCATCTGTCAACATACCAATTTATGACATTATTGACTATATTCCCTGAGCTGCATTTTTCATCTCCCTAACTTATTTTATAATTGCAAATTTGTAGTTCTTAATCCCCTTCACCTATTTCACCCATCCCCATACACTCTTCTATTTTGACAATCACCAGTTTGTTCTCTGTATTTATAAGCCTGTTTCTATTTCTTTTTGATGTTTGTTCATATGTTTTTACTTGTGCTTCCACATATGGGTGAAATCATATGGTTTTTGTCTTTTCTGTCTGACTTATTTCACTTAGCATAATACCCCTTAGATCCATCCATGTTGTCACAAAAGGCAAGATTTCATTCTTTTATGGCTATTTTCCCATTCTGTATATATATCACATCTTTATCCATTCATCTATGGATGGACACTTGGGTTGCTTCCCTCCATCTTGGTTATTATAGGTAATGCTGCAATAAACAGGAGTGCATCTATCTTTTCCAATTTGTGTTTTCATTGTCTTTGGGTAAATATCCAGTAGCAGAATTACTAAATTATATGGTATTTTTATTTTTAATTTTTTTAAGGAACCTGCATTCTGTTCTCTATAGTAAACAATTTACATTCCCACCCACATTCTCCACATCCTTGCCACAACTTATTATTTCCTGTCTCTTTTATACTAGCCATTCTGAATAGTGTGAGGTGATATCTCATTATGCTTTTGATGTGCATTTCTGTAGGAACCTCATCTATGACAAAAGTGACCCTGTAAAGCATCAGAGTACGATTTTGTCAATCAGTGGTCACAGGCCAACTGGATATACATATGAACATAAGTTAGTTTTGAGCCATTCCCTCTAAAAAATCAATAGAGGCGAATTGTAGGTTTAAATGTTAACTTAAAATAATACAAATTCTGGAAGATAAAAAGGAGAACTTGGGGGGCACTTGGCTGGCTCGGTCAGTAGAGCACGCAACTCTTGATCTGGCAGGTGTGAGTTCAAGCCCCATGTTGGGTGTAAAGAGTACTTGAAAACAAAATCTTTATAAAAAAGAAGAATTTTCAAGACCTTGAAAATTTCAAAACCTTGAAGATTTTTAAAACAAGGCACAAAGAGAAGTAACCAGCCCCTAGCAACCACCATTTTATTCTCTATTTCTATGAAATCAGCTTTTTTGTGTGTGAGATTCCATATATAACTGACACCATACAGTTAGTTGCCTTCTCTTATATTCCTTAGCATAATGCCCTCCAGGTTGGTCAATGGTCTAGCAAATGCCAAGATTTCCTTCATCTGTCAGTGGACACTTACGTTATTTTCACATCTTGCCTATTGGGAATAATGCTCCTATATACCTGGGTACAGGAAGATATTTCTTCGAGATACTGGTTTTGTTTCCTTTGGGTACCTACCCAGAAGTAGGATTGCTGGGTAATTGGGTAGTTTTATTTTTAATTTTTTAAGGAGCCTCCATATTGTTTTCCATAGTGGCTGCACCAATTTACACTCTCACCAACAGTGAAGAAGTGTTCCCTTTTCTGCACATCTCTGTCAACATTTATAATTCCTTTTTTGATAAAAGACATCCTAATAGGTGTGAGGTGTTATCTCAATGCAGTTTTGATTTGCAGTTTCCTGATGATTAGTGATGTTGAGTATGTTTTCATGTACCTGTTGGCCATCTGTATGTCCTCTTTGGAAAAAGGTCTTTTCAGGTCCTTTGCTCATTTTTTAATTGAATTATTTGATTTTTTTTTTTGCTATTCAGTTGTATGAGTTGTAATACATTTTGGATATTAATCCTTTATCAAACATATGGTTTACAAATATTTTCTCCCATTTGTAGATTGCTATTTTGTTTTTTGGCTACTTTTTTTGCTGTGCAGAAGCTTTTCAGTTTGACATAGTCTCACTTATTTAGCTTTTGTGGCCTATGCTTTTATTACCTTTTATCAAAAACAAAACCGAAAACAAAACAAAACAAAACATAAAAAACCCACATTGTCAAGATCAGTATCAAGGAGGGGCGCCTGGGTGGCTCAATTTGTTAAGCCTCCACCTTCAGCTCAGGTCATGATCTCACAGTTCATGGGTTCGAACCCTATGTTGGGCTCTTGTGCTGACTGCCGGCTCAGAGCCTGGAGACTGTTTCGGATGCTGTGTCTCCCTCTCTCTCTGACCCTTCCCTGCTCACGCTGTCTCTCTCTCTCAGAAACAAATAAAACATTAAAAAAAAAAATCAATATCAAGGAGCTTTCTCTCAGTGGGACTAGGACTTTATGGTTACAGGTCTTACATTTAAGTCTTCAATACATTTTTAGTTAGTTTTTGTGAGTTGTGTAAGATAGAAGTCTAGGTTCATTATTTTGCATGTGGATATCCAATTTTCCTACCACCATTTACTGAATTTATGCAAGGGATACAGAAATGCTGATTCATAAGGGCACATGTACCCCAATGTTTATAGCAGTGCTTTCAACAATAGCCAAATTATGGAAAGAGCCTAAATGTCCATCAACTGATGAACAGATAAAGAGATGTGGTTTATATAAACAATGTAAGACTACTTGGCAATGAGAAAGAATGAAATTATGCCATTTGCAGCAATGTGGATAGAAATGGAAGTTATTATACTGAATGAAATAAGTGAGTCAGAAAAGGACAGATATCATGTGTTTTCACTCATATGTGGTCTTGAGAAATTGAACAGAAGACCATGGGGGAAGGGAAGGGGAAAAAAATAGTTACAGAGAGGGAGGGAGGCAAACCATAAGAGACTCTTAAATACAGAGAACAAACAGGGTTGATGGGGGGGCTGTGAGGGGGGAGAGGGGAAAATAGATGATGGGCTTGAGGAGGACATTTGTTGGGATGAGCACTGGGTATTGTATATAAGCAACGAACCACAGTAATCTATGCCAAAAACCAACAGCACACTTTATACACTGCATGTTAGTCAATTTGACAATAAATTATATTAAAAAAAAAAAAAAAGAAAAAACTATCCTTTCCCCATTGTATATTCTTGGTCAAAGACTCATTGACCATATATGCATGGGTTCATTTCTGAGGTCTTTATTCTGTTCCATTGGTCTATGTGCCTGTTTTTATGCCAGTTATCACATATAAAATGGAATATAATGTAAACATTAAAGAAATGATATAGACCTATGTTGATTGATACAGAAAACTGTGTCATATTGTTGAAGGAAAAAAATCAAGTTATAAACAAAAAATATAGTGTATGAATATATTCACGTAGAGAGGTATTTTAAAGGATGTCCATTGTTTTTTTTAATTTTGTTCTCTTTGTTCCGTTGTTTACTTTCTATTATATATAGCATTAATAATTCTTATAATAAAAATATTTTATTTTCCTTTAAGGTCTTGCTGAATCATAGTGATTTTGCTTCTAAAATATCCTCTCCTTTACCATATAATTTAGGTCCTGTTTCAGGTCTTCATTATTTCTTACATAGGTATGTAATAACAATAACAATAGTAATAACACCTATCTGTTTATTATTTACCAGTTTACAAAGTATTTTCAGTACATTATCTCCACTAACACACAGAAACAACCTTACGAATAAAGAAATACGAAGAAAATCTGCCTTTACTGAAGTGGATACTGGCAACTAATGAAGTGGATCTACCTTCACTGAAGTGGATACTGGCCAAATAATAAAACTGTTATCTTGACAAAACAAGATACAGATGATAAATAATAAATAACTCTTTGAATTAGAAAGATTTTTTCATGATCGATGAAAGCACAATGTAACTGAATGATGCAAAGTTAGAATTTAAACAACATACTCATTCCAAAGACAAGTGACCTAATGCCATGAACCCATTTTCATATATAAAGCATCAAAGCTTAATTTAAACTACAAAGATGTCTTTATTGTGCAGAAGATTCAGTAAAAGAGCCTTCCAGAATTTTTTGTTTTGTTTTCAAGAAGGCTTTACTTTGTTTCTGTGACAACAATGAATTTTCTGTGGAACAGAATATGCTAGGAAACCAGGAAAGGAATATCAGCTCATCTGACCTCACTGTGACATTGTGGAAAGAGATCATATAAGAACTTGATACAGAGCACAAGGATCTGTAGAAACTGGCCAGTTTTACTCCTATCAGCTAATAGATGGGTGGACTAAAGTGTATGTGAATTTATAACCTCTTGGATGTACTTTGCACTGTGGTTACTTTAAAAATACAAGTGAGAACATTCATAATTTGTTACTTCACACTAAAACTAAGGGACAAACTGAGCACATTCAAAATCATGGTACATATTTTGCCCTATGTCCTGGCTTCTATAGCTGTACTTCAGAGAATGGATTAAAAAGACAAGCTTATTAGATAAAAGGTGTCATCTCCTCACATCAAGGTACATGAGGAGAAAAGTTCAAGAATTATACATTCTTAGAAAACATAAAAAATCCTTTGGGCCCTGGCAAAGAAAATGTCAACGAGTCAAAAGAGACTAGATGGCTATTGACCAGTGTCATGGAGGCAAAGCTGCAAGCCAAGATGGAATAATGCTTTCCCACCATGTGCCTAAGGCACAAATGACACTAATCCTTTTTAATGGTCACAAAAGCTGACAACTTACTCAGCCTTAGAACTGAAGGCACAAAATCATCTCTGGGAATGACTCACCATAAACAGGTCACGAGCACCAATGTCAACAGCTAACAGAAATGCCTTTTCAAATCTTTGGTACCTGTAATGAAGAAAAGAAATGTATATGTTAGTTGTGAACCAAATCATAAAAGGAGACAGCTGCTTGTTTAATGTATTTATGTGTTACTATTTTTTGTTCTTCTGATGGGAAAAATATTTTCAAACAGTAGGGAATTTGCCTGCTGGGATTTTTCTGTATGTAAAATGTTACTGCACTTAGAAGGGCCTTGGTCAAAGAGCCTACAGAGGCCTTCAGTGCAATTTACAAGGATAAGCATAACCCAGAGAAGGTGCTGTTGAATGTAGGGAAATGATAGCTTAGGAAACAGGTCTTTCATAATTTTTATGAAAAGAATGGGGATATGTAGACTATACCAAGGTAACAGTAATTAACAAACCGAATAATTATACTTTTGTGTTTCACAGGTAAAAGTTGAGAAGTCATATGCTATATTATTACAAAAAGTCTTATTTGTGAGTTTTGGAATAAAAATACACTCTAGGTTGGTCTCAAATGGCAATATAAATGGTTTCTAAATATTTTAAAATATTTTCTAAGTATGTTTTTTTAAATGTTTATTTTTGAGAGAGAGAGAGCACAAGTGGGGTAGGGGCAGAGAGAGAAGGAGACACAGAATTTGAAGTACGCTCCAGGCACTGGGCTGTCAGCACGGAGCCTGACATGAGACTTGAACCTATGAACTCTAAGATCATGACCTAAGCTGAAGTCGGACACTTAACTGACTGAGCCACCCAGGCACCCCTGTTATTTCTTTTTTGGTTAAAGTTTAATTTTAGGCCAAGAGATATGAAAACTACAGTTTAAATTAATTACCTTTACAGGAAAGTTGAAGATCTTGAGAGAAAAGTATGTCATGATCATATACCTTGCACATAGTTTTAAAAGGCCTTTTTTTCCCTTTGGTTTGAATGGTGAAATTTACATAGATATAATTAATAGATATAACTGTGAGATTTTCTGACTCCAGAAATAAGTGGGTAAATAACCAAGTTGTACTCTGTTCTCTATTTTAAAATATGACAGTATAAAATATAAATATTTCAATTGCAATATATCAAAAATATGGAATATTAACAGATTACATAAATTTTATTAGTCAAATAGCTAAACTAATTAAAGTCCAAATGAAAAATTAATGACTCTTATCCCCAGTCTCCTCCTTCACCCTTCTTACTAACCTCTCTAGTATTTACCTGAATCCCTATAACTATGGAAGATCAGAAGGTAGTTATGTTTATTTTGTTCAAGGCAGTTTACTGATTCATTATATATTCAGTGGAGGTGGGATGTAATGAGAAAGAGGACAGAAGACTGTATCAAGTTGTACAACTTGTTCATACACTCACTGCTATTTTACATTTGATCCCACTATACTAAAACTTTCCTGGCAATAGTAATCTTTCATCTTCTAATGATCAAATGTAGGATAAGTCCTCATCTTGTGTGCCCTTTCAGCTATATCTGACCTTACAGATTTCCCCTCCTTGAACCCCCCTTTTTCCTTGCATTTCGAGATGTCATTATTTGTTTTCCCATTTCTGACATTTCATCTTCTTAGCTTCCTTTCCTAGTTTGTACTATGCCTACTCCATCAAGGTGGTGTTCTATGGTCCTCTTTTACTTATGCTCACTACTCTAGTCTCTCCAATAACCTTATGCACTCTCATGGGACTGATAATTATATCAATAACTCACAAATCTCTGGGATTCCTTTCCTGAGCTCCAAACACTTATTACCAGGTATCTTGTTTGTTTGTTTGTTTTTACAAATAGTTTATTGTCAGGTTGGTTTCCATGTAACACCCAGTGCTCATCCCCACAAGTGCCCTCCTCTATGCCCATCTCCCCCCTCCCCCCCACACCCATCAGTCCTCAGTTTGTTCTCAGCATTCAAGAGTCTCTCATGGTTTGCCTCTCTCCCTTTCCCCCACCATTTCCCCCCTTCTTCTCCGCCACGGTCCTCTGTTAAGTTCCTCCTAATCCTCCTATACGTGCAAACATATGATATTTGTCCTTCTCTGCCTGACTTATTTTGCTCAGCATAACACCCTCAAGGTCCATCCATGTTGCTACACGTGGCCAGATTTCATTCTTTCTCATTGCCATTAGTATTCCATGGTATAGATAAACCACATCTTCTTGATCCACTCATCTGTTGATGGACACTTAGGCTCTTTCCATGTTTTGGCTATTGTGGAGAGTGCTGCTATGAACATTGGGGTACATGTGCTCCTATGCATCAGCATTTCTATATCCCTTGGGTAAATTCCTAGCAGTGCTATTGCTGGGTCATAGGGGAGTTCTATTGTTAATTTTTTGAGGAACCTCCACACTGTTTTCCAGAGGGGCTGTACCAGTTTACATTCCCACCAACAGTGTAGGAGGGTGCCCGTTTCTCCACATCCTCGCCAGCATCTAGAGTTCTCTGATTTGCTCATTTTAGCCACTCTGACTGGCGTGAGGTATTACCAGGTACTTTGAATTTAAAGTGTCTGACATGTCCATTGATACATCAATTTGGCAACCATATGTATGATAAATTAAAATTAGAGAAAGCGAAATTAAGAAGGATAAGATAGGATATATTCTTCTTTCTAGGTGAGAGGTAATGACAGACACTATGATAAAATGAAAGAATTAGCACTGGCATCTGGCAGATGGATCAACCAGAAATACCAAATGTAATTCCTAACTAGACCGCTTATAAAATATAAAGTATATTATAGAATTCTAAAAAAAGATAATCTCTCTAAGAGTACCATAGTCTCAATCAAAAAATAACCAACCAAATGAAATCCCCTCTTTAAAACTAAAGATCCTAAGAAGAGAACAAATACTGGGGAGAGGCAGAGGCAGAACTACTCTACCAGCCATCATACATAAGAGACTGAGCCCTGAACAAGTGTTAAGGTAAAGGTAGCTAAGGTCAAGACTTCAGATTCAGCCAAGGGCTAAAATGTTCCCAAGATAACTTTGGCATAAAGAATTTAAAAAAAAAATCATGTCTTGATTAAAGCTTTTTCTTTAAGTAGGGTCTACACCCACTGTGGAGCATTAAGGCACAAACCCAAAACTGAGAGTCACATGCTCTATTGACTGAGCCAGACAGTCAATGGATTAAATAATTTTTGATAGAAAGACCCAGGACTATCATATATTAAACAACTATGAGTTCACGATCAAAATTCACCAAATGCACAAGAAAACAAGCTACTATGATGGAAATTAATTTCACAGATTATTTTTTCTTATGGTATGCTATACATACTTCCTTTACTCTTTTTCATTCCTTTTTTCTTTGTTCTCCTTTGCATGACTTCAAAAGACTTGTCTTCTACCTCAAAGATTCTTTCACTGTCTTGATCCCATCTGCTATTGTTGCTCTTTACTACATTTTTTATTTCATCTATTGTATTCTTCACCTCCAGAATCTGGTTCTTTTTTTATTTTTAAATGAGTTCTATCTCTGTAAAGTTCTCATTTTCTGCATTATTTTCCTTATCTTATTTTCTTTGTTTTCTTATAGCTCATTGAGTTTCCTTTAAAAAAAACCATTTTTTTTTTATTATTGGGTATATCATAGATCCCCATTTCTTTGGGGATATTTGTTTTAAAAATTATTGTGTTCCTCTGGTGGTGCCATGTTTCCTTATATTTCATGCTTCTTCAAGTCTTACGTTGCTGTTTTCTCATTTAATGAAGTAGTCACCTCATCCAGTCTTACCAACAAGTTTCAGGAATGAAACACCATTTGTTAGTTCTGTAGGGATTCTGAGTCCTTCTGAGGTTTTTCTATGGATACACCTGCTTCACACTTCTTGTTCTCTCTTGTGGAGTAATTCTGAAGATTGTATGCCTTCTCTCTATTCTGTAACCCTAGGCCAGATGCTGAGAGACTCCACTTTGCTTTCCTAGGGCAGTCCTTATGCTCAAGTTTGTATGCTTTCTCTTAATCCTACATACAGGCTGTGTGTGATTGCAAAGGCTCCTCCTGCCACCCAGGAGTCATGCACAGGATGCTGGCCATGGGGTGTGGGGGCACACAAGGAGCATTGGGGGTACCTGTTGCCAGTTGTGGAGATCCACAGACAAGGTGTCCTCATCAGTTTGTGGGTAGGCTTCTTGATAATAGTCCGTCAGTCTGGTCAGTTAGTCAGTAGTATCTATGACCCTTTGATGCCTTCTGAGAGGAGTGACTGCTGTTTTTCCAGCTGTTCCCCACCCCCTAGATATGCAACATACTTGAGTATTCTAGATGGGATGAGAAAGAACTAAGTTTCTGGCAGCATCCTGCACACCTTGGGAAGCCAGGCACTTACTCAACGTGCTCACTTTTAGCCATGGGAGAAATCATGTGCCAAGAAGTGCAACTGCTCCTCTTACCCTATTCAATGGATCCAATCTCAGATTGTTTCCCCCTCTTTGCTCCAGTGGTGTGCTGAAACAACTCTGCTGGACTCTCAGAATTCTACAAAGGCACTCTTATTCATGGGTGATTGTCTAAATTGGTGTGCTGGGGAGTAAGAGGGTAGAAAACTTATTCTGTCATGTTGACGGTGTCACTCTCACTCTACAAGTTGTATAATTTCACCTTTTACATTCAGGGCTGTAATCCATTTCAGGTATATTTGTGTTGGCAAGAGGTAGAGGACAAGACTCATTTTTTCTCCTATGTGGATCTCCAGTTTATGTCGCATCATGTTTGGAAAAGACCATCTACACTGCATAGAACTACTTTATAAATTTATTGGAAAAAAAAAAAAACACTTGTAGTAAGTTTTGAAATCAGGAAGTGTGTGTTCCCTACCATTGTTCTTTTTCAAGATTGTTCGCGCCCCTTTGCAATTTCACATAAATTTGTTAACTGGCTCTTTCTATTTCTGCAAAAAAAAAAAACCATTGGAATTTATAATTTGTGGATTACTTTGGGTAAGTACTGCCATCTCACGAGTAAGTCTTCTAATCCACATACATGGGATATCCACATTTATTTAAGTCTCCTTTAATTTCTTTTAGCA